CCAACATGCTCCTTTAGAATTTCATTGCTGGAATACCTCCCCACTTCACTCATTATGTTGTATCCAAAGTCAGTTGCAGCATGGGTGAGGCACATGGCTTAAAGGAGGAGACAAGGCTCAAAGCTGGCAGCTGCAAATCCTCCTGAGCAGGGTTGAGTGTTGGGCGGGCTGAGCACTCCACAAATGTCCAATTGGGCTGAAATTTGGATATGTTGTACTAGACACCCATTGGAACAAGTTTCATGAAGATCTTCACCTCATCCAAGCCCCATAGCATGCTGATCCAAGGCCAAGAAGCTGACCTACGAAATTGGGCTGGAAAGGAGTTGTAGCCAAAATGTGTTTGTCTTTAAGCCCTTCTTCCATTCACCCAAATCAAGCCTTAACATGCATGGATTGCATCATTTCCTATCCAAAGTCATCATTGTTACCTAAATGTCAATTAACTGAAAGATAAACACAAAAAGGATTAAAAGCACAAGTTTAACTCAAACACATAGCCAAATCATAAGCTAGAAGGGTACAAAATGATATACAATTATGAACCGATCACGTAATGCATCTTCGAAATTTCCGTCAATCCTTAAATCTCGAAGTCAGTTATTTACAAGCTTCTCAACATCTTCCGCACACATAGTTAGTCGGTCACGTTGGTGACCTTCGCGATTTGGGCGACGTTGATTGACTTCCTCGTTGGTTTGCAAGAGTCGACCTTCTCGGCTGTGCCGCCTAGGCGGCGTGTTGATGGACTGCGCTTGTGTGGAATTTCCTATAGCTTGTCGATGGGAATTAGTTCTTCGGGAGCGGGCAGCGGAACGGGCAACGGAGCGCCTTTCTTCACGATCCTCATTGTGGGGGTCGTCAGGTTGACCTCCCTAGGGGCCTAGCCTTTCGTGAACATTGGTCCTTGAACTCAATCTAGATGAGGGACTTTGTCTTCTCTGAGTGTATCTTGCAGATGCTTGCGATATGTCGGCAAGCCGACCGCGTTGTTTTCCCTCTCCTTGTCTGCTTACTCTTGCTCGACCTGCTTGATACACATCGAACTGCCTATCGGCGCGTTCGTCCATCCTTCTCTCTTCGCCCTGTTGTCCAAGGTCAAGATTTTGAGCCAAGTTTATTTGGTTGATGAGCTGCCTCATCAAATTGTTTTGGTCGTCCATTCTTTGAGTTAGTTGGTCAACTCTCAGATTGAGGTCTACTTGACTTCGTGGATACGGAGGAGAGGATTGTGTTGAGCCCAATTGCACACGGGCTAGGGTTTCATTGAAGGTGTATGCGGGAGCGTACGTCGAGCACGGAGGTAATGGAGGGAATACTTGAAGTTGCTCCAATATTGGGCCAAAGTCGGCGGTGGTAGTGGGCCCACCTTGATGGGAGGTTTCACCATGTTCGGCAGCGGCGCTGTGAAGGTGGCTAGATCCAGCCACGGGGCCTTGAGATGGTATGATGATGGCAGAGGCCAGTGCGATGGTCCCAACTGTGGGTCCGACAGGTAGCACGGTGGTTCCAGCCACACGCGGTGGCTGCTGTGGTGCGGCAGCAATGGTTTGCTGCGAGTTCACAGCGGCGAGTGGTGGAGGTGCCACCATGTCGATCGTGGGATCGTGGGAGGAGTGACTTTGGGCCGTCACGAATCGAGCCATCGCGGCGGTCTTGCTCCTCGTGTGCTTGCTTCCAACCATGGTTGTTTGGAAGGCTTTGGTGGATTGGAAAATATGAGGAACAGATTCCTTGAGCACGCGTTGAGTATAACTCGCACTCTCAATGAAAGCACCAAATGTTTGTGCAAATAATCTCGTGGGAGAATATTCGCTTCTAGATCCTTCAACCTTCGATCTTCCTTCTCTCTCCTTCTTGATTCCTGTAAAAAAGATTGGAGTAAATAGACCACACCCGGGGGGTGTCGGCCAAAGGCCCTCCGATGCCTAAGTTAGTTCGAGTGTTTGTAGGAAAACAATAGCTAAGCAAAGGGTACGGAGTTGTATATATGGTGTGAACCGAGCGGCCAGAGCCGTGCGTGGTGGCCGGAGCTGTGTGGAGAAAATATGGAGAGTGGAGAGTGGAGAGTGGAGAGGGAGAGAGAGAGAGCTTCGGGTATTTTTCTTGGATATCAAGAGTAGGTTTAGATGTAGGATTTTTGAAGTACCTTGAATGATGAATAAACCCATCTATTTATAGGAGCCTCGGGGCTAGGGTTTCGTGGCCTTGGGGCTAGGGTTTTCGTAGAGATTGAGTCGGACTTTGATAATATCTGAATTATCTCGTTAATTATAATTACATATCCTATAATTAGGATACTATCCCTTTGATACGATAATACCTGAATTATTGATATTATCTCATTAATTATAAGATAATATCCCTTTATTATGA